ATTAATGGGAGAAACTCCCCAAATACACACCCAAGAAGACTCGAGGCTCTAAATGCTGCCAAAGGTGCTTCAACAAAGTACTGATTAAAGGATCTGAATACTTATGTAAATATGATATCAGTTGTTTTTGTTTTAGTTTTTTTTTGTGCAAAAAATTAAACTGTTTTTGCTTTGTCATTATGGGGTATTGTGAATAGATTGATTAGGGAGAGAGAAAAAAACAATTTAATCCATTTTAGAATAAGGCTGTAACGTAACAAAATGTGGAAAAAGTCAAGGGGTCTGAATACTTTCCGAATGCTCTGTATTGCTGGCTCATCAATATGCAAATGATGTTTGAGTTTAGCTATTCTCTGCTTCAGATGTACAATGACAAGGGGCACGTTGATTGCACATGCCCATTAGGCCAGTAATGTCATCATACTGTAGGCCTCTTGGCTGCATTGGTGATGCATGCCATTATGATAAACTGCAAAATGGGTTCACATGGCTGATATCCTGAGACAGAGTGACAATCAAATAAAACCGATTGGAGAGCTCACAACTGGACAAAAAGGTCATGTTCGTTTGCGAAAGCAACACAGAAACAGACAAATTAGAGCCAGATCCTCTTCACACCTTTTTATTGCAGAATTGTGATCTGTGATGAATTAACATTGACACTAGTCTGCAGTGTAGCTCAGTTGGTAGAGCATGGCGCTTGTAACGCCAGGGTTGTGGGTTCGTTTCCCACGGGGGCCATTATGAAAAATGTATGCACTCACTAACTGTAAGTCGCTCTGGATAAGAGCGTCTGCTAAATGTTTTTAAGTTAACGTTTAAACACTTCACTTCAACGAATCAACATTGAATTAATCAAAATAATTTCAAAATGTACAAGTTTGTACAAAACCTGTTTGTAAATGTTAGACATCTTAGTAAGTAGGACATTATTTCTAAAGCCTAATTCCAGGTGAACAAAAAAGCAATACCAGAGGTGGCCAAACCTGCTCCAGTCCCTGACCTAATGGGTGAGCAGACCTCTATTCCAGTCCAGCAATAATACACATTAATTATCAACTCATTGGGTTTGAATCAGGTGTGTTATGCTTTGAACACACCGACTGTGAAATTACGCAAAATAGTATGCAACATCCTCTAGATATGTGTGCAACAAAAGTTCAACATTCACCTTCTGCTACCATTTCTGTCAACCCCTATCGGCATACAGTTTGAGCCAAACGTTCGTTAAATCCAACGTACACACCACACAGAAGGCTCTGCAACGCAATGCTGCAAGGCAAACACAGCGTTCCATTGGAAATTAATGTACTTCTGGTGTACCAAAACGCAATAACACAGTCGGTGTATTCATAGCGTTAGTGCTGGGCTTTAACAGAAGCCTGCACATCAACCATACCTCGAGGAGAATGAAAATGTATGCACTCACTAACTGTAAGTCGCTCTGGATAAGAGCGTCTGCTAAATGACTAAAATGTAAAAAAAAAAAAAATAATTGTAAGGAAAGCCCTGTGAAATTCTGTCCAGAAAGTGTGTGGATGTGAATAATAAAACAACAGATTCCAGGATGGAAGCCAGCTAATTTAACAGTTTATAACTTCTATCATGTCACATGAAAACTAGTAGATTATACTGAAATTGAATTATCTTATTGAGTATTTTTTCAGCCATTATCTGCCAGGACACATCCATTAGCTAGTCTTTTTCATTGAAAATCCAAAAATTCTGGGTAGGCCTTTCTGGCTTTCTGATGGATTATAAACAGCATCACATGACTTCACAAGAACATCGGCTACCCAGCTAGCACATAACATTCTGAGAACCATATGTTTCTTAGAGCTTGGTGAGAGTGTGGTTGTCCTATGGCTATTTTGCATATAACCTTCCCACAACTTCCTGGGACTGGTGCAGGATAGTTGCTTGGCTTTGGAACATTCTCAGCACATTTAAGGAAATTGACAAAAAGCATTACCTTAACAGAAAGTTTCCCAAAAGTCCAAACATGGTTACATTTAATTTCAATTTTGGTAATGTTCTAGGAACGCTCTCCAACTGGTTTGACATTGGGAGGTTCTCAAATTGTTCAGAGAACATTAAGAAACAACGTTCTTCTGTGGGAATTTCAGTACCTCAACAGAAGATTCCACACAAGTTCTCATGTGGTTCTATTAATATTTGTACTACATTCTGGGCAAGTTCTCAAAAATGGTTTGACTTAAACTCTACGGGATCGGTGTCCCGTAGACGGGACGGTTGAGTTAATGTGCGCTAATGTGATTAGCATGACTGTTGTAAGTAACAGCAAACTTTCCAGGACATAGACATGTCTTATATGGGCAGAAAGCTTACATTCTTGTTAATCTAACTGCACTGTCTAATTTACAGTAGCTATTACAGTGAAAAAATTACAATGCTATTGTTTGAGGAGAGTGCACAACAACAAAAAACGTATCACGCCAACTGGTTTGATACATTCACCTCTGAAGGTAAATAATGTACTTACATTCAGAAATCTTTCTCTGATTTGTCATCCTAAGGGTCCCAGAGATAACATATAGCATAGTTTTGTTTGATAAAATCATTTTTTATATTCAAATGTAGAAATCAACACAATTTGAACCCCTGCTGTCTCTGGCTCCTCACCCACCCCACCCGGCCATCTAGATGTGTGAAAGTTAGTGTTTAAGCAAATGATCCATCATGTATGACATTCCTGGGAATGTGTAAACTTACATTTTGTATTACCATATCCTTTTTGTATGTTCTCTATAGCTATGTACTTGAAAATGTATCAATTGACCAATTCGGCACATTTGGGCAGACTTGATACAAAAATAGTCCAGTATTGCAACGCTTCACTGGATCAATCACACACACTGCTGCCATCTAGGCCAAAATCTAAATTGTGTCTAAACTGCATTATTATATTGTGGCCTTTCTCTTGCATTTCAAAGATTATGAAAAAATTAATAAATTTGAAAACGCATTTTTGTTTGTATTATCTTTTACCAGATCTAATGTGTTATATTCTCCTACATTAATTTCACATTTCCACAAACTTCAAAGTGTTTCCTTTTAAATGGTATCAAGAATATGCATATCCTTGCTTCAGGTCCTGAGCTACAGGCAGTTAGATTTGGGTATGTCATTTTAGGCGAAAATTGAAAAAAAGGGTCCGATCCTTAAGAGGTTAAGTGATGTTCTCAGAACGTTCAGAGACTGTATGGTTGGTTCTATTTTATGTCCGTTCTTGGCAATATTCAAGGAATGTTGTAAAAAATGGAATTCTACACATTAACATCAATAAGCTCTAAATTCCGTTTTCAGAACATGAAGAAAACATTCCATAAAAACCACAAGAAAACTTTAGTAACGTTCAGAGAACGTTCTAAGAATGTTATTTAAAAACATATACATTCCATTCTCAGAACATTAAGAAAACTTTCCATAAAAACCACAAGAAAATTTTAGTAACGTTCAGAGAACGTTCTAAGAATGTTATTTAAAAACATATACATTCCATTCTCAGAACATTAAGAAAACTTTCCATAAAAACCACAAGAAAACTTTAGTAATGTTCAGAGAACATTCTAAAAATATTTTAAAACAATACATTCCGTTCTCATAACCAACAAACTCTCTTTATCCTCTGGAAAAGGAAACTGCATCAGCCACCGGCAATTTGTCAATTTTATGGAAAGGCCTATGCAAGTTCATGTTCCAAATTGTTATATTTATTGACCCTTATAAACACTAGCAACTAAAGAATTGGAACAGGGTGTGCCTCAGAGTGATATGTGGAGCCAACCGAGAAAGGGCACGTGTATTTGTATTTAACTCCGCAATAAAGATGGTGAAGCTACAACAATACAAAAAGGCATTTTAGGAGATCATTTTGTGCTACATTCTGCCCTACACTAAGACTTTGAATTTAGAGCCTCAAAGGCAGGCAAGGGAGAGGAAGTAATAATACATTACCTTAACCTTAATCCAAACCCTGACAACACAAGAAGATAATGAGGATCCTTTGTTCTTGTTTGCAAGAAGCTTGTCTGTAGCTCAGCTGGTAGAGCACGGCGCTTGTAACGCCAAGGTAGTGGGTTCGATCCCCGGGACCACCCATACACAAAAATGTATGCACGCATGACTGCAAGTCGCTTTGGATAAAAGCGTCTGCTAAATGGCATATTATATTATATTATTATAAAGATTTTGCTTGGTGGAGAGGCTAAATTATATGTTGTGCTGTGACATGTACCTATTGGTCTATTAGGTAGCTCTTTTGGCAAACACCTTAGGCAGTACAGTCTTACTCTTAAAACACCACCCACACTGTCACCCAATGGTTCACACTTGACAATGTAGAAGTTCCTGCGGCCACAAGACTATCTCCCAGGTCTCCGGTCTCCCCTACCCAGTGCAGCCCAGTGCAGGCAGGTAATGGAGGAAGCTGATTCTTAAGCAACAAATCAATTACATGGTAAGACAAGAGATTAGAGCCCAGGGCTCATCTGCTGCAAATGGGATCAGGGCTGATTAGCGGGGTTTAGGATGACGTACTGCAACTTTGTGGCTCGATCACTCTGCTACTCGCCTGGCTACCTCCTTTTGCAGGAAAAAGATCCACCCGGAATAGCTGTGTAGACCACCATCCTGTCATTTTGGGGGATTTTATGTGAATATTATTATTTTTTAATTTTGGGTGGCAGACTCCTCTACCCACCCAGCACTATGGACTTTCCTGATTTGAGGGTGGTCAGAATGGATATGAAGAGGGGAACCCCTGCCAAAACACATTCTGCAGCTCCCTTCTGGAATGGATTACAATTTTCCAACTGAAACTCTCCACAGGAACATAGTTGCTTAAGGTCATCTGAATTGCTTACCTGTTACAGGAGAAAAAACATTGAAAAACTAGTTTTGAATATTTTGTATATTCAAATTTGTTTCTTTTTTTAAATCCAAGTTTTGATTTGTGAATAGAATACACTGAGGTAAGCATGGCGTTGATGAAGGTAAAGTTTGACTTGCTCAAACGGGTGAAGCTTGCCCAGGGCCTGTGGCTCATGTACTGGCTGGCAGTGATGACCGGCATCCTGGTCTTCAGCTTGGGGCTGTTCTTTAAGATCGAGCTCCGGAAGAGGAGTGAGATGATGGACAACAACGAAAGCCATTTTGTGCCCAACCTGTTGATCCTAGTAGGCCTAGCTGCTTGCGGGCTCAATGTTTTTGGGGGCAAGGTGTGCCACGACTCTCTGGATGCTGTGAAGTTTGCCAAGTGGAAGCCCATGGTCAAGGGCTACCTGATGGGTTGCTTCGCTTTCAACATCCTCCTGTTCTTCACAGCTCTGCTGTGTTTCTGCATGCAGTTCCAGCTGTACTTCGCCCTGGCTGAGGGTCTGAAGAATGGGATAAAATACTACAAGGATACGGATACACCTGGACGCTGCTTCATGAAGAGGACGCTGGACATGACCCAGATCGAGTTCCGCTGCTGTGGCAACAACAACTATAGGGATTGGTTTGAGGTCCAGTGGATCAGCAACCGCTATCTGGACTTCAGCAACGATGAAGTCAAAGAGTGAGTACTGAAATCAGTAGCTGAGTGAGAGCAATGTTGGGTCTTTTGATTGAGAGAAAAGGGCTATTTTAGGAAAGAAACTGTTGTTTAATTCATGCCAAGTCTTGTGAAACATATCTATCATTGCTGCTACATAAGAGTCTTCCTCACTCCTAAGAGTCTTCCTTTACCCATATGGTCTCTTGTAATCTTGTGCAGGAAGCTGGGGATAGAAAATGGGAAGAGATAGCACATGCTGTTGCTCGTGTATGGTAGTGACAACTTAGTTAATGTATAACATACAAAACAAGTAGTTTAGTTAGTCACCTACTTTCAATTATTTGCTACATTTGGAAATCAACACTTTTATTGGGACAAAATGCTATATTCATGAAATGGGTGGAGTTTTTTGGGGGGGTGGAGGATTGTACCTTAACCTTTTTCAAGGTGTACCTTAAAGGGGGTCAGGACAGGATATATGTAGAGAGCATTAAAGAATGGTGAGATGCAGAGGATACCAGTGTAAGTGGAGTCAGGTTCAAGTGCCAAGTTCTGATAAGCAGATAATCCACGTCCTTCACAGTTTACTGTCCCCCTAAATCATAATAAGACAGCCGTTAACTGTCACTAATAGACTGACACTTAACGCAAACACACTACCCCCTCTCCTCTCCCCAATAACGTGCCCTGCTGGCAACTGATACCATATTTACTCTATTTAGATTCTGATTTTAAGGCATTGATTAAAGGGATAGTTCACCTAGATTACAAAATGGCACATTGGTTTCCTTACCCTGTAAGCAGTATAAGCATAAAGGATGACAGCAATCCAAGCTTTGGTTTTGTTTACCTGGCCACTGTTTTAAGTGCTAACTTTTTAGCATTTGTGGCACAAATCCACAGCAAGTCAATGGTACCTATATTAGAATTGTCGCGCTTCACGCCAAATCAACTATAAGTAACTTTGTTGAGATACACAACTATTTTAAGATTCTTTAGGATAATTTGGACATGAGAGAATATAAGAATATAATTGCAAGTGGGTGGCAATGTGTGGATAGTACATGTGTAACAGTGTGCATGTTTAAATGCATTAGAGTGAGTTTATTTACATATGTATACGTGTGTGCATGTACAGTGTAATTGACTGTGGATCCGTGTTTATATGTTAATTTACTTAAGATATACCGGCGGTCTCTCTCACTCACGAATGATCACATCAAGAGGATCCTTATGAACCCGGTTTAAACTCGACACCTGTTAATATTAGCCAGAAGCCCCACAAATTTTTCTCCTGTCAACAGAAATTCAGCCTCTATATGATACACCTGCGAAACACTGATTGATGATTCACTCATACAGTTATAGTCTAAACTGACACTTGACATGTGGCCAGTTACGATCACATACTTTGCCATGTGAGCCGTTACCTTATGTTTACTCTTCCTACCGAGGCTCATGGGTTCACTGTTCATAATCACTGCCCTTACATCATTTAAATCTCCATGCCTCATATGTCTGTGTTATGGCACTGACGTACACCTGTTACTTGAATGACATACTTTATGTGTCACATGGCTGACATTATTTGTGACGGGTCTCACGTGTCTCTCTTGGCCTTTCCACAGCCGTGTCCTGAGCAACGTGGAGGGGAAGTTTCTGATGGAGAGTGTACCATTCAGCTGCTGCAACCCCGGCTCCCCCAGACCCTGCATCCAGCACCAACTGACCAACAACTCAGCCCACTATGACTACGACCACCACACTGAGGAGCTTAACATCTGGACCCGGGGCTGCCGCGAGTCCCTGGTCGCCTACTACGGAGGCATGATGAACAGCATTGGGGGCCTGTTGCTACTGTACATCATACTGGAGGTGAGTAAGAAAATAATACAGAGATGAAAGGGAAATGGCTGGTGGCATTCTCTGGATGTCCTGTCAATGTCCTTCACTTCAGAGGGTAGCTGGCTACAAATGCTAAAGATCAATTCATGTGACCTCACACACAAGACAAACAAGTAATTGATTAGCTGATGATTTGTTTCAATTACCGTCTTAAAGGCATGTGTAGGTAAGTAGCAGAGCAGGGCTAGGCCCAGGGGTAGGGAGAAGAGGATTTGAAAAAGAAGGATGTCCATAGGTTTCCCATTGTAGAAGACAACAGCCATTTCTAAGTATCTAGCTCAGTGAGTATTAGGAAAGGTCCAGCTGTTCCAGGTTGGCCACAGCTGAACAGTTCATTGGGCACACATGCCAACCCTCCTGCCTTTGACTTTGGGAGAACACGTGGCACACAACAAGCCAACTATCACTATACCTTTGCCCTTCTGGCAAACAGGAACTAAAACATGCCATTTCATGGTTGGTCTTAGCACTCACTTGGCTCGACTTGACTTCCATCTAACTGACTTTCCAAAAGACGGAAGTGTTGAAAATCTCAAGTAGAGCTCCAGTGTCTGATCTATGATACACAGATATATGAGCATGAATGCCACCCATCCACCTACCCACCAATAAATACGCCTACCTTACCTTTGTTACCATATTTCTCTGTTTTAAATGGAATTTCATTATAAACTTTGATTATAAAATTTGACACTCTTTTTTTCAAACATCCCTATATTCACTGAGTTATAAACTGACAGTGGGGAAAACTACCCTGGGCAGATTATAGCCCATAACAACAGCTAAAGGAGTCTTGGGACTGAAAGGGTGAGGGATTGCGTAACTGTGGGTGTGGTACACGCGGTGAGGGAGGATCAGAGTTTCTTAGAGGGGTTAATCTGGGCAGAGCAGTGAGCAACAGGTAGCCTTCCTGGAAGCAGGATCTCACTGTACTAACTGACAGACTGAGCACTAACTGGGTTGCTATCTGGGTCAAAACAACAACACTAAATTGTCAGTTTGGGCCAAATCCAAATTTGAGATCTGTGTCAATTGATTGATGTCAATTAATGTCCAATTGACATCAATGAGAGATTTGATCTAAAAGCCAAGCTTTAGTGACTATAAATCAATGTTGATTTGGATCAGTGATTAATACATTTAGAATCACTGTTTTCTAAATCTAAAAAATAATGAATAGCAGAGATCTTTGGGGGTTCAGAGGCCATACAGATTGTTTAATTGCAGTGTGTCTGTGTAGAGGCTCTTTCAGTGATGTAAGTATCTTGTTTGTGTGGTCCTCAGGCAGGAGTGATGGTGGGCTTACAATACCTGACCACTTCTCTGGAGACCATGGCAGACCCAGAGAACCCGGAGAGTGAGAGCGAGGGCTGGCTCCTAGAGAAGAGTGTGAAGGAGACGGTGGCAGACTTCATAGCGAAGATCAAGGGTCTGGCCGGTGCAGGGAACCAGGTGGGGGAGGGTGAGGAGGCGGTGGCCACTGTGAGTTGAGAGGGTCCCACCCAAAGGGACTGAGGCTTGTCCTATCGATGGGACCTCAAAGAGAAAGAGGAGTGAGAGGAGAGAGATCTTCTCAGTGAAACAACACACAGACACATACACTGTAAACACATGAAAACAAATGCATACACAAACATACCTACACAGACACAAACATGGACGCACATGCACACACCCTTTGAAAAGTGAAGAACTAAACCAACTGCTCAGATGAAGTAAGAACCAAACTCAAAAATGTGAATGTATATCCTGTCCATAATAATTCTGTATATATGTTAATCAGTCTCTTTTTTTTAAATAATGAAAAATATATTTGGGTTGTCAAAACATCTGTACAGTATACACGAATTTGGGCTTGTGAATATGAAGAAAATGTAATGAATGAATGAATAATCATCCCCACCCCTGCCTGGCAATCCTCTCCATGAAAAATGATGGGCAGACCCTGAAACCATCAAGCCTGATACAGTTTATCTATGCTCATATCTAATCGTTTTACCCCTATGTCCTTGTTACACTCCACAACTTGTGTTGTGTGGACATGTAACCCGATAGCTACACAAATATATATGTCGTTCTGTGAAGTAATGAGAATTGAGTCTGCTCAATTCAACTGAAGCTTCTAATCCAAAACTCAACATTACCAGTGCCCAATGCAACCCGGTCAATCGGTCACATGTCCCCTTATGGCAGCTTAAATTGGGCAGCTGCGGAACCGGGGTTCTGGCTGTCCCTCCCAGCCCCCTGTCACAGTGTCCCCATGCAGGTCCTGGCAGTGCAGGGCCATATGCATTCACACCTATACAACACACACTTTTACATTTATTAGTTATGTATCAGTGTTGCTATTGGGTTATTTGTCTCCTTCATGTACGAGGCAGATTTAACTCTGGTTTTGTACTCCTTTGAGGGGATACAGTGGGCTGAGTGCCCAGATGAAGTGCTGGGAGCACTTATAAGAAGAATGCTCTGTACTTTTTGGAGAGCGAAAGATGATCAGATTGGCATTTTAAATCAGCATACCTTGTGTGAGTACATAGAGATATGGGTCAGTTTTCAGTGGATACAAAAAGTCTTATCAGTTGTAATATTTTTACTTTCTGTGTGAACACCATTTTTCTTCCTTTGTAATATTGAGAGTTAATATATTCTGTAAATTTGGATTTTGATCAGCAAAACTGTCAGTCTTGTGGGTTGGCTGGAGAATTTAGCAGCTCCATTGTGTAAGATAAAGATATATAACGAGAACAAGAGTGTGATTGTCCGTTTTGTCCATGGGGTTTTGTCTGACATGGGTCATTTCTAAATTGGTACTCCACACTTACAATCTTCCTGTCATAGGCATATTCTGTATGTACATTCATACAGTATTTTTAATTGCAATTTTTCATAATTTGGACAAGGTATTAACCTACCTCTCTTGTTGAGGTCCTCAGCCTTATTTCAACTTATCATGAAGCTAACAGAGAATGAGTGAAAGAATGAGGGGAGAAATGCAAATTGTAGGCAGCATGGACATGGTGAATAAGGAGTTAAGGAAGTTCACAGCAGATGAGTGAGATGAGGGTACATGTAAAGAACCCAGCAGGAGGCCAGCTTTACCTGATGGGATCAGCAGGAATACGTGGATTCCACTCAGCAGGGATCCAGTCCCTAGTCCTGTTCCAGGACAAACAGGTGACTAGTCACTTAAACTGGGCCACCCTCAGAAGAGAGGATATCTATGGAATCCATGCTAGAAAACAAACAGATATGTTATCTGATAATTCATCTGTAGTTATCAGGTCGCAATTATGAAAGAGGTCTTCTGACATCAATGGGACTTCCTGGTTAAATAAAGCTTCAATAAGTTTAAGTGTTGGATAATGCATATTAAAAGGTTGAGGTACATTTTGCCAAGACAATTGAAAGGATACTTATGCTTACCTATTCCTTTTCAACATGTCCCCTGATATGTCCAACTAAGCCATAATCGGAGGTATCCTTTCCTGAGAGGTGGGTTCAGTTGAGCAGGTACAGTAAAGACACTTGTATACGTGAGTGGTAGTGGGGGGTAACAAGGACATCTGTCATCTGGAATATTCCCTTAATGACCTAAAGCACATAGACAGCAGATGAGGAGATAAGAGCAGTAAGAGGCTTTGATGTGCAGCTTAGCCCCGTCAGGTGATGACAAGGACAGGTGCCTCTGACGCAGGGAGATGCCCAAAGCATCTTGGGCCGGATGGGGCTGGGCAACCACCCCTCCCTCCTGCAGGATATGACCCAATTATTCTCAAATCCTCAGGAGGCCAGGATATCTGTCCAAGTGTCCAGTGCCAGAACATTAGATCTAATGATGGTGCTAAAAAACAACAACTAGGAAATGTAGTGATGCACATTTATCACTGAAGTTTCAAGTTTTATTAGTCATATGTACAGGATACATGGTATACACCCTCCAACAAAATGCTTATTGCAGGTTCCTTCTCGATAATGCAACAACAATAAGAAATAATAAAAGATAAGAATATGAACATAAAGTAAATGGCTCAGTAGAATAGAATAAACATTTTAGCATAAGTATAATACAGGAAGGCACAATTTATTGTCCAATATTTACGTGTTTTGGGTAAGCAGGGATTGGGGGTAAGTGTGCAGAGGTTTTGGTTAGTTTTTTAAAGAAAAAGCAACTTCTCATTTTGAAAATGGCTTATGTGGCATCGATGTCAGTCAGAAACACTTATTCTAGTGTCAAAATTGACTACAAAGTGTAAATAGGATAATTTTGGTCAAAGTCAGTAGGAAAAATGGTATGTCACGGCAGCACCCAAGTAATCATCAATTCGGCGCACAGCTGCACGAGACCTGATCGTAATGCCAATGGTCAATTTGGTTTACATTCGATGTCCCTATGGGGCTAGTTAGGGACCATCAGTAAATTACACAATGCACATGGGACAATATTTTAAAAGGTCAATAGCTCCAAATTTCAATGACTTAAAAACCTCAAACCAACTATAAAATGTAGAAATTCATATATAAATATTGAAAGCATTTAATGAGTCAACTAAAAGATGTGCAACAGGAAAATACTGATAGACTACTCAAAGTCAAACCAACATTGACAGCTGGCTAAAGCTAATTGGCTAATAACTCTTTCCCACCTGCAAACAAGAGACACCACATCAAACCACACCCCAAAACCAACTCACGTCTGAATACAGTCATGGCTGCTAGCATTTCTTAATTAACCAAATCTAAAACAAGACCAAATCAGGAAGTGGCAGTCACCCTTTAACCTCGTCCCCAGACTAGTAGCTATGAACGAGATTAGGTTAGTTTAATTGATCTTATATATACTATGGGAGTTAACCAAGGAAACCATATTAATTACCTATTAATAAGAATAGGAATGTATTCTGAACAAAAAAATTAACGCAACATGTAAAGTGTTGGTCCCAGGCTTTAGTTATGTATCGGTGTTTCTATTGGGTTATATGTCTGCTTCATGTACGAGGCAGATTTAACTCTGGTGTTGTACTCCTTTGATGTAATACAGTGGGCTGAGTGCCCAGATTAAGTGCTGGGGGCACTTATAAGAAGAATGTTGGTTCCTGGCTTCATGAGCTGAAATAAAAGATCCCAGAAATGTTCCATTCGTACAAAAAGCTTATTTCTCTCAAATGGTGTGCACACATTTGTTTACATCCCTGTTAAGTGAGCATTTCTCTTTTGCCAAGATAATCCATCCACCTGACAAGTGTGGCATATCAAAAAGCTGATTAAACAGCATGATCATTACACAGGTGCACCTTGTGCTGGGGACAATAAAAGGCCACTCTAAAATGTGCGATTTTGTCACACAACACAATGCCATAGATCTCAAGTTTTGAGGGAGCATTCAATTGCTCCCGAGTGGCGCAGCGGTCTAAGGCACTGCATCTCAGCGCTTGAGGCGTCACTACAGACCCCATGGTTCGATTCCAGGCGCTCTCACAACCGGCCGTGATTGGGAGTCCCATAGGGCGGCGCACAATTGGCCCAACGTCGTCTGGGTTTGGCCGGTGTAGGCCGTCATTGTAAATAAGAATTTGTTCTTAACTGACTTGCCTAGTTAAATAAAGATAAATACAATTGGCATGCTGATTGCAGGAATGTCCACCAGAGCTTTTGCCAGAGAATTGGCAGTACATCCAACCGGCCTCACAACCGCAGACCACAGGTAACCACGTCAGCCCAGGACCTCCACATTTGGCTTCTTCACCTGCGGGATCGTCTGAGACCAGCCACCCGGACAGCTGATGAAACTGTGGGTTTGACCAACTGAAGAATTTCTTCAGAAACAGTCGCAGGGAAGCTCACCAGGGTCTTGACCTGACTGCAGTTAGGCATCGTAACCAACTTCAGTGGGAAAATGCTCACCTTCGATGGCCACTGGCACCCTGGAGAAGTGTGCTCTTCACGGATGAATCCCGGTTTCAACTGTACCGGGCAGATGGCAGACAGCGTATGGTGTTGTGTGGGCGAGCGGTTTGTGGGACAACAGTCCACAGGCCACAATCAACATCCTGATCAAGTTTATGCGAAGGAGATGTGTCACGCTGCATGAGGCAAATGGTGGTCAAACCAGATACTAACTTGTTTTCTGATCCACGCTCTACTTTTTTAAAAAGGTATCTGTGACCAACAGAAATCTATAGAGTAGGGCCTAATGAATTTATTTAAATTGACGGACTTCCTTATATGAACTGTAACTCAGTAAAATCTTTGAAATTGTTGCACGTTGCATTTTTGTTCAGTGTAGTACTAAAATATTACTATGTGACTTTTCTATGAATTTCAAGTTTGAGTCTGAGAATGTTTCAAAGAAGCTTTCAAAAATATCTCACTCACCTCAAAACTATCTAACCTCAGCTTCACTGTAATCCTGGTTAACCGGTTAAATGTTCTCATTACAACCATCAGCTCTTTCCTCCAGCTGGGCCTTGGGAGCCTATTGCCGCGTTCAGATGCAAGTCAGAATTAGGAAACTCAGAAATGACCGACTTTCTGATTAGTTGAACGTGCAACTTGTATAACTACAACCAGTAAGCAAGTCGAAAATGTCCAAGTTTCCTAGTTCCGACTAGCACTTGAACGCATAATCCACCTTATTCTCCTGGCCTGTCTCCATGGTGGTCATGCTGGGAGGCCCTGACCGATCTGGGACAAGTGCTTCTCACAGCAATAGGGATATTGATATTACATGGGTCATACACACACATAGGCACTCAAGGTCACACTCAATATACACTGCTCAAAAAAATTAAGGGAACACTTAAACAACACATCCTAGATCTGAATGAATGAAATAATCTTATTAAATACTTTTTTCTTTACATAGTTGAATGTGCTGACAACAAAATCACACAAAAATTATCAATGGAAATCAAATTGATCAACCTTGGAGGTCTGGATTTGGAGTCACCCTCAAAATTAAAGTGGAAAACCACACTACAGGCTGATCCAACTTTGATGTAATGTCCTTAAAACAAGTCAAAATGAGGCTCAGTAGTGTGTGTGGCCTCCATGTGCCTGTATGACCTCCCTACAACGCCTGGGCATGCTCCTGATGAGGTGGCGGATGGTCTCCTGAGGGATCTCCTCCCAGACCCTGACTAAAGCATCCGCCAACTCCTGGACAGTCTGTGGTGCAACGTGGCGTTGGTGGATGGAGCGAGACATGATGTCCCAGATGTGCTCAATTGGATTCAGGTCTGGGGAACGGGCGGGCCAGTCCATAGCATCAATGCCTTCCTCTTGCAGGAACTGCTGACACACTCCAGCCACATGAGGTCTAGCATTGTCTTGCATTAGGAGGAACCCAGGGCCAACCGCACCAGCATATGGTCTCACAAGGGGTCTGAGGATCTCATCTCGGTACCTAATGGCAGTCAGGCTACCTCTGGCGAGCACATGGAGGGCTGTGCGGCCCCCCAAAGAAATGCCACCCCACACCATGCCTGACCCACCGCCAAACCGGTCATGCTGGAGGATGTTGCAGGCAGCAGAACATTCTCCACGGCGTCTCCAGACTCTGTCATGTGCTCAGTGTGAACCTGCTTTCATCTGTGAAGAGCACAGGGCGCCAGTGGTGAATTTGCCAATCTTGGTGTTCTCTGGCAAATGCCAAACGTCCTGCACAGTGTTGGGCTGTAAGCACAACCCCCACCTGTGGACGTCGGGCCCTCATGGAGTCTGTTTCTGACCGTTTGAGCAGACACATGCACATTTGTGGTCATTTTGCAGGGCTCTGGCAGTGCTCCTCCTTGCACAAAGGCGGAGGTAGCGGTCCTGCTGCTGGGTTGTTGCCCTCCTACACGTCTCCCGGTAGCACCTCCATGCTCTGGACACTACGCTGACAGACACAGCAAACCTTCATGCCACAGCTCGCATTGATGTGCCATCCTGGATGAGCTGCATTACCTGAGCCACTTGTGTGGGTTGTAGACTCCGTCTCATGCTACCACTAGAGTGAAAGCACTGCCAGCATTCAAAAGTGACCAAAACATCAGCCAGGAAGCATAGGAACTGAGAAGTGGTCTGTGGTCACCACCTGCAGAACCACTTCTTTATTGGGGGTGTCTTGCTAATTGCCTATAATTTCCACCTGTTCCATTTGCACAACAGCATGTGAAATTTATTGTCAATCAGTGTTGCTTCCTAAGTGGACAGTTTGATTTCACAAAAGTGTGATTGACTTGGAGTTACATTGTGTTGTTTAAGTGTTCCCTTTATTTTTTTGAGCAGTGTACTAAACCCAGTAGGATCTTCGTATTAAGGCTGGGTATTGGCCTCATGACACTAATCATATGCCGATATGTCACAATTCGATACATATTGAGATCCTATATGTATTGTGATTGGATTTTGTTAGTCACTCTCACTCAGATATATTAACATGGCATAAATCATGGCAAAATGTGGAGAATTGCAGGAAATTAGCTTTAAAAATGTCTCGCCACCCTATGGCAACATTTGTAGATTGCAGGACATTTGCTGCAAAACTGCAAAATGCTCTCTACGCCTCATGGCAGTGTAGAATTGCAGCTGTCAAGAAGGGGGCCATTTAAATGTTTTGCCCCCCCCCCCCCGTTAAACGAACATAAGCAAATATCACGATTCCAAGATTCGTAAGCCATTGAATCGATTCACTATCGCAAAAACAAGTATCATAATATTGATTTCCTTAGTATACATAGTACCTAATCCAAAGCCACCAGCCCACAAATAGACACTTAGACCTTCCTTTTCCTTTTTATTTTGGTATTCTTTTACAATATAGTACAATGTACTCATTTATACAATAATTCACATATTAACAAGTCTGTGACAATAATAATGATACAGCCTCGATATTGGGAGCGTGTCAAAGAACGGGGTGGGGATGGTTACCATGAAAACATGCCAACGGAGTGATGGGAGGAAGAATATAGGGCTTCAGGTCCCAGCATCAGAGAGACCCTGCATCAGAGAGCAGTGTGTGTGTGTTGGTTCCTCTAAAGTGCCTTGCGAGCCTGACTAATCTATTCTGTTTCCGAGGTTTAAGGATGATATTTGACCCAATGGGTCAGTCCACCCAACAGTAGCTGTGGTAATGTTACAATCCAGATGATTAGGGCTAAGACTTTTACCTGACCAAAAGATTATAACTAAGATCGAGAGTTGTATTCCAGGTCGGGTCAGGCAAACCCACTGGTCCATATATATAAAACAGTTGAGGGATATGTTTCTGCATTCTCTTCTCATACAGAAAAGAAAACATTGTTTCTGCTGAACAGTTTTTAAAAAACCAATACAAAAACAATTACCAAAACCAACAAACAAACAAACCTCATCAATGCACATGAGATAAAAAGTCAAATGGATTACAACCAACCAACCAAACACATTAGCAAAAAAGGAAGGGACAGCCTTGGCGTAAAGGCTAATTTCTGTGGGTTAAGGAGTTCACTTAAATAGTGTTAAAAACAAAGCACTGACAAACAGATAGATTCAAAACGCACACATACTCAACCTGCAAAAATACTTAACACACTCCAACATAAACACTGACAAAACGAAAAACCAGAACACAGGCACTAAGGAGTAAAACACGGAAACATTCACACCAGTGTGTTACTGCACACTTCCTTACATCGGCTTGTATTCTCTGAGCACTGTGTATTTGGGTGACCATCAGACTGGAGAAAGTAACTAATGGATTGCAGCAAGGGGGATAATATACACCTTTTAAACCCCCACACTACCTGTGTGGGTCAGCAGTGTCTCTGTCAGAGTAAGGACCAGTGTTTGGGTCTTTACATTACAGGACTTTAATTGAAATTCCAATTCAAAGCTGAAAAGCACAATTTATTTTCAATGAGGCTCTTGGGTTGAAATTTCAATTCATGGGAATTGAAATAGAATGGATCCCAATACCGGTAAGGGCACAATCTGGCCTCACCTCAAGACCTATCAGATGAGATTTTGGCCCAAACTCTGAAATGAGCAGTCCCTGGCTGACAAGAGCAAGAAGGAAAACATTGTGCTTACTCAAAATGTTTAGTATCAAAGCAATCCAACTGTAAATAAACCAATACATCAGCCATCTACCTTAGAAATAATTTAATGGTATTTGAATAGGCAGAAATTAAATAGTATTCCTATAAAGAAGTTACTGAGTATTCATGTTACACCCGAGCCAGTCATCAGCTGCCCAATGTGTCGGCTATATGCTTTATACATTCTCTTTTATATTAAATTACAAAGAAAATAGAGGAACAGCAAAAAGAAAAGGAGAAAAACCTGCATCCATTCATCCACATAGAGGGGGGGGGGGGGGGGGGGGATGACACACCCCCTTCTCCAAATGGGGGGTGAAAGAGGTGGGGCTGTGTTGCCTAGACCACCATCCCCTTTCGGTTTGGAGAAGGGGTGTGTCCAACTCCGGTCGATGTGACCTATGACATCACAGGTGCTGCCAGTCGATGCCAACCAGAGTCTGGTTGGCTTCCTGGGCATGGCCTATCTCCTCGGTGATGCTGTGCTGGCGCCACAGCTTCTGGATCTTGCGGTAGCGCTCGCGGCACAGGTGCAATGGGTTCCCCCGCCTGGAAAAACACAGAGACAAACTGCTTTAAAAAAGCGGAGCACAGCAATCCCACTACTGGGCATCTTTCAGCACAGACCAATAACATGTACAGCAATGGGTCTTAATGTTGGTTCTGGGAGACTAGTGCGCGCAGGTGTTTGTTCAAACCTTTTGAGAAGCCATTTTGAGAACCACTACTCTACTGTAATGAGTGAACGTGCAGGGTTGTTCACCTTAGGCCCTGGTCCGTCTCTCCATAGTCATCCAGGTATGGAGGAGCGTAGAAACAGCCCTTAGTTTTACCAGCCAGGAACAGAACCTGGCTCTCTCTCACTCTGCAACAGAAGGGACAGCATTAGACTTGCACACTCATGAACGGAGGCACACACACGCACAAGGTCGGGTCTGTACCTAAGGAAGATGCCTACTCCGGCTCCGCAAGCGAAGGTGTGAGCAATGCAGGCTCCCACGTCCTCTCCCTCCAGCTCTGTCTGGCAGCAGTAGCTCTGAGAACATAGCATGGAGCCACACACCAGACACAGGGTGGGCGCACGGGACTTATCCCCACCCGACTTAGGGCACCTGGGGGGAGAGAGGAGGGCATAAACACATTCACTCTAATTGGGTCTTCTATAGCAGGGTTTCCCAAACGGGAGCCCCCCCCCCTGGGTGCACGTGTTTTTTTTATTGTCCTAGCACTACACAGCTGATTCAAATAATCAAAGCTTGATGATGAGATGGTTACTTGAGTCAGCTGTGTAGTGCTAGGGCAAAAAACGAAAACGTGGAACTGGGGCGGCAGGACCGAGTTTGGGAAACCCTGTTCTGTAGGACAGTGAGGAGAGCAATGACATCCAATCGCTCCTGATTGTCATTTTGTAAGGCTGTTGTGTTATGACATCTTCGTAGCACCAATGACAGTTGTTCTCTGGGCACTCACGTGAAGCTGGAGGCTTGGTTTATGAGGGCACTGTAGTCATCTGGGAGGTCAATCAGGCTGTTGGACTCCCGAGGATAACTGGACAGAGGAAGAATTAGTCAGCCCTAGAGCTCTTAACAATATCAACAACTAATTGAACCGTACAGTTCTAATAACACTCCGGACCACAAAATCATTTATACCAATATCCAATATAAGTAATCAGAGTTCCCCCCGGTCATATCAGGAATGCAAAGAAGTGGAGGGTGCTCAACCAACGCGAGTCGAGGTGCAACCAAAAATATATATATAATTGAAAAGGCTCAACGCTCGCTCACAATTAAACTCAGTTTTTTATATTTTTACATTTTTTGTAATTTAGCTTATCCAGACCGACTTACAGGTGCAATTAGGGTTCAGTGCCTTGCTTAAGGGCAAAATGACAGATTTTTCACCTAATCAGTTTGGGGATTCAAACCCGCAACTTTTCGGTTACTGGCCCAATGCTCTTAACTGCTAAGCTACCTGCCGCCTTTTATTTAAGCAAAGGTAAAAAGTTTGGCCTTCATTAGAATACTCCTCAATCTTATCAGACAGTAAAATAGCAGGACTGACCTCACAAGAACGCCACCTCCCTGCAGGGTCTGCTGTACACCTGGATGAGTGCACCACCTACAGGACAGGAGGACAAAATGCAAGACAAACTTTAATCCAAAAAGTGTTACATTGTGTGGACTATGACACTATCACTGAAGACACTTGATATATATATTTATTGATTTAGTGGTATGCCGATGTGTTGTTTATGACTCATTGATGATGCACTGTCCATATAGTTGGGTTGATCTTATCTTTTTACTTTTATATTGTACGACATCACATTGTATGTACGTTTCTGCATATGTCGTTGGTTGAACGCAATATATTCAAATAAACCAAAACAGTACATACAATCGGTCGCCATGTAGCTGGCACTTCTGAACCAGTCAGAAGATACAAGAGGAGAAAAGACAGGTTACTGGTGAGTGTGAGTGAGTGTAGGAGACTCTTACCCCTGCAGCAACGGCTCCAGTAGCTCCCGTTGACTGTGGAAGAGCTGCAGCAGGTTGGAGGGCAGACTGAGGTATCCACACAGCACCTCCCACTGACCAGGACACAGAGCTGAGAGAGACACAGAGAGAACGTCAACACCCACATGGCTATGCTTGGTACCGTGTACGTGTTCAAAGTGGAGTAAAAGAAAGTGTGAGTGTGTTTGTGCGCGGGTGTATGTGTGTGAGCGCACGCGTTGTATTAACCATGCAACTCTGGGGGTGTAGGGACTCCGTTGAGGTGGTGGAAGAAGAGTGCTGCTCCTCTCAGGTAGGGTAGGATACCCGTCTTCACACAACGCCACAGATGCCAACCAGACCCCACCTCAGGTAGGGAACTGTCAACACACACGCTTATTATAATCACAGCATGGTTTAAGCACAACATGTGTATTAACATGAGAATACTGGGGAAAGGCCAGCTGCTTGGTGGATATGATAGGCGAGTTCCCTGAATGTGTCATGGCTACAGGGTTAGTGTTGCCTCACCTGCCCACGTGTGTCCTGAGGGTGTTGTAGAGACAGCAGATGGCCTCCTCCTCCTCCCGCTCTGCTTCCCCACTCTCCTGCTCCATGGTCACCTCCTCTGTTGACGCACAGAATGTCATGTTAGTTCCTTTCTCTATGCCATACAAAAGACGTTTCGCATACGACAGTGGTTAACTGCAATGACTTGGAACTACCCTCTCTTCAACTATCCAAAGGTAAGATCTTAACTGGTGTTTAGACAACTTTCCAATGGTCTGGCAAGCACACACACACAGGTATTGGGTTCGCTCTCTCCTTACCTGGGCCAGAGGTGAGCAGTATTTGGACCATGTGAGCCACAGTGATGAGGTGGAAGAGGTGCAGCTGGACAGCGTCCACACTCAGCCCTGACGAGTCCTGGTAGTGGACCGACCCGTAGGACAGCACCACACTCACCTGAAATCGGGTGAGAGGGATAGAGAGAGAGAGAGACATAGGGATTAGTGTTGACCTTACACTTATATACAATGGAAAAGGTTTTATGGTAGTGTCAACAATGGGTTTGCGTAGGATCTGGCAGCCCAGGAGATGTGATATGCCACTGGTCATGTATGCCTGTATTATTGATGTGTTGATGAGAATGAGGTCAGGGGCTCAGGGGGCACTCACCAGCAGGTGCAACATGTCTATGTCCAGGATACATGGAGTGGCCTTCACCTGGGGGTCTGGAATCAACGCTACACAAACATACACACTCCATCAATATAACTCAACACATAAAAAGTGAAGGTGGCTTCAGACACTGAATAGGCCATCCTAAATGGAGTGGTCCTGCAGGTCCCTGTTAATCGTGTCTGTCCTACCTGCTAACAGTCTGATGAAGTGGCCCTGCACGGTGGGCTGACAGGCTGCAGTCCAACACGCTGAGCCAAACCTGGCCAGGGAGCTCAGGCAGTCATCCTGTACACAGAAACACACTCAACACTGGCGTCAACTCTCTCTCTCCACCTCTCCACAAGGAACTGTTCTTACAAGACTCCTGTCCATTGATTCAAAGGTAGGTTGGAATTAAAGGAAGAATATGTTACCTGTCTGCAAGGTAAACTTCCAAATAAAGGCTTCTTCTCGTCCACCAACAGTCGCTCTGCAAAGGGAAGGGGGGAAAAAATTTAGTTGAACGTTGCATTTCTAAAATGGGAGTCTATGCTCTAGTTGTGTTTGAACATTGTGGACCATTGGCAGCATTTGAAACATTCATTTACTCGTTAAATAATGAAGACATAACTCAATCCCACATGTGTGCCTTTGATATGAGTTTTATATCACTGTAAACTATATTTGTTGCTCCAATTCTATTATTATCTTGTTTTCTCTCGGTGTGTGCGTTTTTGGTTTTACCATCCATGTGGGGACCAGAATTCCTCACAAGGATAGTAAAACAAGGATGATTTGTACAAGTGGGGCCATTTTGCTGGTCCACACGAGGAAATCGGCTATTTTAGGCTTAGGGGTTAGGTTTAGGGTTACAATTAGGGTTAGGTTTAAGGGTTTGGGGTTAAGGTTAGGGAAAACAAGATTTTGAATTGGAATCAATTGTTTGGTCCCCACAAGGATAGTAAAACAAATGTGTGTGTGTGTGTGTGTGTGTGTGTGTGTGTGTGTGTGTTGTTCTCACCTATGGACTGGATGGTGTAGGCACAGCTGCCCCAGCACATGATGGGGACACGAGGGTCCTGCTCATTGGGGTGTACCTTAAGGCCAACTTTGTAGGTCGCTGTCCCAAAAGTGGTCAGCATCTCCTTTATGGTGCTGGAGTAGGGATTCCTGTAAAAAAAAAAAAAAAAAAAAGACACAGGCAAGTCAACATACAAGTCATTCAAACTAATCTCAAGACTTTGTCAACTGTCCTGTCCCCAAAGCATTTCTCTCATATTCCCTCAAGGGTCACTTACATGGGAATGTAGTCCACTCTGAAACCCTCAGGAGCAGGGCACTCCTCTTCCACCGTCTCTTCAACAGTGTCTGCACCTATACACACACAGTTTAGTGACATAACATGAAGGCATACACAGACATTCAGTAGTGTTTCTAGCACTACTTCCTCTCTACACCGGTGTAACGGGACCTCGGTGTAATAATGACAGACATTTGTCGGACGACAAGAATGTGTGTTGCGGTAATACAATGATCTGTGTTCCAATACTCACTGATGGGCTGGAGTTTCCTGTGGGCAGAGTGCATGGCCTTAATCTGCTGACCGCTGGTAATTAGCCACTGACCCAGACTAGGCTGCTCACAACTGGAGAGAGAGGGAGACAGTCAGTGGACTGGACAATGCCTTGACCTACTCATTAATACACTTATGGACAGCATATGAATACGGGCTGGCCCTTGCTTCTTCATTTAACATGCTAATAACAAGGCTGTTGGTATAGATGAATCAAAGCCGTTCTTTGATTGATATTTATCTATTTAACCAGGTAATCACATTTTATTTTACAATATTGACCAGAATTGTATAAAAAGAACTAACAAATACGTTTGCTAACTTTTTCTTTTGTTTTTCAATCTTTGAGACCTTTTCTCAGCCCTCTCTATGTAAAAGTGTGAATGGCCTGAATTACCTCTGTGGTTGTGGAGGTGACGATTGAGCCTTAGTGCCGAGTGAGCCTTGACCTCGTGTGAGAGTGGTACCAGTGACATCAGAATGCTCAAGGGGTTTACACTGGTTTAACTGGGGGGATGGACTGGGGAACCGGTGAATGAGAAGCGAGTGACCAGAGGGGATTAATCTTGTGACAACCACTAAGCAGTCTGTGGTTGCTGTGGCCATGTACCCACTACCAGTCAAAGGTTTGGTTTCCTGACCGAGGGTGCATCTCAATAGTCTTAAGTGGCTTCCTCTCTTAGTCTCCTTCATCTGTACTAATCTAAACGGTATTGGACGGGGAAAGTCAATTACCATTGAGAATTCACTATAGACCTTCTGCTTTCACCTATCCATTTTCAGATCAGCACAGATAAAGGAAAGGAGGAAACAATATGAGACTATGTGTGTGTGTGTGTGTGTGAGAGAGATTGGGTACCTGCTGGAGCCCTTAGTGCGGGGGAGCAGGGGGATGACGGTGTTACTGAGGCACTCGCACAGCGGACACAGGAACTCCCCGTTCCCCACATCGTAGCTGGTGTGGACACGCAGTCGCTGCTGACGCCGCTGCTCCTTGGCCTGCACCGCCTCAAAGTACCTGCACACACGAGATGAAAACTATTGTCCAGAGTTTTTCATTTCCAGAGACCATAACCCAACTCCTCTGCAGGCCCACGGAATCCTTTCGACCTCAAGATCCAAACCTTCAATTTTACACAATCCCCTGTATGTGGCATACTGCCAGTTAGAGATCTTCACGGATTCACCTGTACCCGAATACCCGAGACCCGATCCAGAATTCTAAATAATGTCACAGGTCGGATTGGTATGTGTAATTTTAACCGACTTGTCCGGAAGGACCCATACAGATCCGAATGAGACTGCTGAGGTAGAGGGAGAAATTGTATAATTTATGCTGCTGCGCTTTGCTTTTCAAGAGAGTGGCGGGTGTAGCATGTTGTTGGCCAATCATAAGTCATCAAAGCGGCAATAGGCTACAGTCAGAGTGTCCATGTGGCAAAAGTTAGGAGATATCTAATCAATGGAAGATGGAATTAAAATGATCAAATTAAAAGTTAAAGGAGAACTGTGTAGGACGAGAAAGCGAATGCATCCTCAATAAACCTAGCTAGCTAGCTTAACTAGCCTCTCCCGGTTTGATGCAGTAGTCAAGACAGGTACTACGTAATCATATTGGATGATAAATAACCTAGCTATGGCAGCTATTAGTCTACTATAGCGCGAGTCGGCTTGGTTGGTTGCTGTCTCTCCCTCCGTCCTCCCTGTTCCCCGTGTCACTCGCTCAGTAGCCTCCCCACTCAACACGGCCCCTACCTCTCATCTCCTCTCCCTCGCGCTTTATCAGCTCTGGTTAATAAAGTAGCTTTCATTTTTTATTTTCCGCTGCTTTTCTCACTCAGATCGGGTCTGGATCCGACCAGGTATATACGGAACAGTCTAGTTATCCTCGGAACGGGTCTCCCCCAAAACATATTTATGCATATCGGGTCCTCTACTACCAGTGTGTTGTAGAACCATGAGCCTGGCTCACCTCTGCCAACAGTGAGAGTGCATGATGTGGCCACAGCTGCCTGTGTGTGTGCCAAACGACAGGTCAGGGTGCATGAAGAGAGGGTCGTAACGCTCTGGAAAACACACACCAAAGAGGTAACTCAAGCAATGCTAGTATATCATTCACAGACAAAACCCAGAAATAGACAAGACCATGGAAGGGATGTAGGATGAAGATGCCCGTTGACACTGATCTTAATCGTTAAAGTAACAATTTGGAGGAGGGAAAGCTGATCCTAGATCTGTACATAAGGGCAACTTCTACCCATCTGTGACCTAAGGCCCTCCATTCTCTCTTTCTCTCACCGGGGTCGTGCGGTGGTCTTTTGCGGTTCTTGGACATGACGGTGGAGCGCTGGACGAAAGCAGCCAGCACCATGGCCTTGCCGTCAGCCCGGATCTCCTGCTCCTCCTGGCACAGGATACACGTAACAACCTGCCTCTTCTCCCCGGGACGTGACCGCCTGGGGCCCACACACACCAGGGCTGCATCTGACGACGTGGGGCTGCATGAGTGGGGGGGGGGATGAGAGACAGGCTTATAAAGTTTGATTGAGTTTAGGGTGGGGATTGGGTGGTGAAATACAAGTATTTGTGTGGTGGGGGATAGAGTTTAATACTGTGTGATGTCAGTACCTGTGCTCCAGTGAGGAAGAGGTGGAGGCATCCAGCTCCTCCAGACTCTGCTGGAACAGCTCCTTGTTCTCATTGATAAAGTGTCTCTGCATCTCTGACATCTGGGCCATGATCTTCTCCCTGCGAAGGCGAGCCATCTCCGCCTTCCTCTTCCTCTCTGCCTTGTCCTTATCACACACTGTCTGAAGGAGGGGAGACGCAGATGTGGCAATATATTTTTTGAATTAAATTCATGAGAAACCAAAGAAATGGTCATAGATGCACTAGACCCACCTCTTCCTGACTGTGGCTGCCGCTGGCGGTCACTGTAGAGGTGGAGACGGTACGTTCCCGCATTGTCTTAATGCTGGCCACCGTCTGCACAGGGACACAATAATATTACCTCGGCAAATAGTAAAGGTACAGAATAAATTATAATAATAATAATAATATATCTTTGTACTCTGACATTGGAAGTAATCGTGGATATGTATTAGTCATGAGGACCACTGGTTGCATGCTGTCTCTTGGTGGCCATGGCATGTACAATATTGCAGTGTACCAACTCAAATGCTAGATGTCACCCTTGGATAAGATGTCTACTGTGAGTAGGGTGCCCACATGTCCCAGATTGTGCGGGACAGTCCCGAATGTTGACCCTTTGTCCCGCAACCAAACAAACGTGTCCCGGATTTTATCAACAAATCATTTTTTTTACAAAAAGTGTTGATTTGTCCCGTATTTTAGGGAAACATCCAATTCATTTGACGAGAATAGACATTCCAACCTGTATCTTTTGCAGTCACGTTGCACTTATGACAAGATATATCATAAGGATGTGTTACTGGTGATGTTAAACACTTCTCCAATCGTTGTTGAGATCTGATCTTCTGCACAGTGCAGGAGGCCAATGTCATATCGTCACCCAATCACATTTGTCAAATCCTTTCGGGGTAAATTCCAGATAAACTTGGAGAGGATAGTTAACTACTTACAAAAAGTGTGCGTCTAACGAAGAGCTACAAAAATAAGTAAATAGCCGTATTAGACTGAAAGATAAGGTCATTTCAGGCTCTCCATGCTCATTCAACGTATTTGCTGCTACTTCACTCAAACCCATTCCTTTTAAAAGTCTCCCTTCCTAACTGTTTACATTCCCTGAGACCAACCAGAAATGTTTCCTTGGCCAAATATTCCCAGATTTTCATAAAACAGCCACACACACACACACAAGTGGTCTCATTTATGCATCACAAAATTTTGCGCAAGGCAAAAGAGAAGGCATGTTGCCAGCGGGAAGGAGATGTGTGTGTGGGGAAAAATTATTCATGTATAGGCTACACTGTCCAGCAAAATCTTCCCGTTGTCCCACATTTGGGTAATTCAAATGTGGTCACCCTAACTGTGAGAGTTGTATTGGTAGTGGAGGTTGTAATAACGCTGCACCACCTTGAGGATCCAGCGGATCATATCCTTGTGGACCTCCAGGTGAGGGGCATTCTGTAGGTTCTCCAGGAGGGCCAGGACACTGGCTGTGTTACTGGGGGCTTCCCCTGGGCCTAGGATACACACAGGGCAGTATATACACTAGTTAAAAAGTAGTGGAAATATTACAAATGGTGCTATTTTAAAAATCTGGGTCGTTCAAACTGTCAAACTTCACAGTGTGCAGGTATTCTCCCTTTTCAGTTTCACAGATACAGTTTCAGAGTGACAGAGAGGGAGAGAAAGTTAGCAAAACACGTTCTGGATTTCAGGCTAACAATCCACTCCTTGTACTCCGCATCATGTTTAGCATGACAAGGAGTGGCAAGCAGTGGAATGATAACTCAAACAGACTGGAACCCAGGCTAAGAGAGAGAAACTTACAGGACATTTTGAGGGTGAAGTTGAAGCAGACGTCACTGTCTTCACTACTGTTCTCTAACTGCTGCTGTTCCTCCAGTAGAGCCATGCCTATTAAGTGGAGCACCTGGAGAGAGAGACAAAGTTATGTACAGAGATACCTCTAATGGTCCCGCAAATAAACTAAGTAGGACACTAACACACACACTTTCTCTAACACATGTACACGCACACACACAGTGTGGTCCTGGTCTCCCTCACCCTCTGCAGCATGGACTCAGACCAGTGTCCTGCGCTGGGCTCCACGGCCCACTGCAGCACGGCTCCCAGCATGCCCAGCAGCACGTCACACTGCAGAATGTTAACCAGGCTGGCAAACAGCGGGCAGAACGGGGGCAGCACCGGAGGAGGGAGGGCTACAACACACACAGACTTAAACTGAGTGTACAAAACATTAAGAACACCATCCTAATATTGAGTTGCCCCCCCCGCACTCAGAACAGCCTAAATTCGTCGGGGCATGGACTCTACAAGGTGTCGAAAGCATTCCACAGGGATGCTGGCCCATGTTAACGCCAATGCTTTCCCATAGTTGTGTATAGTTGGCTGGATGTCCTTTGGGTGTTGGACCATTCTTGATACACATGGGAAACTGTTGAGCGTAAAAAACCCAGCAGCGTTGCAGTTCTTGACACAAACCGGTGCGCCTGGCACCTACTACCATACCCCGCTCAAAGGCACTTTTGTCTTGCCCATTCACCCTCTGAATGGCACACATTCACAATCCATGTCTCAATGTTTAAAAATCCTTCTTTAACCGGTCTCCTCCCCTTCATCTACACTGATTGAAGTGGATTTAACAGGTGACATCAATAAGGGATCATAGCTTTCACCTGGATAGTCTGTCATGGAAAGAGCAGGTGTTCCTAATGTTTTGTACACTTAGTGTATATAGTCAGAACAAAGCAGCACTCGATTGACACAGCTGAAAGACCACAACCAATCACCACAATGTCTGCAATAATCACATATAATACTAATTTCAAGATGTTCTTGTATCCCATGACCAACACCACAGGGATGAAGGAAGTGTTTCTGGTTGAGACTCTCTACCTGTGTCCTCTCCATTCTGTCTCTTCAGCTTTCTCTGGGCTTCCTCTGCCTTGGACTGGTCAGCTCGGGAGTAGTGGTGGAAGTAGAGGTTGAACTGCTTGGCACACTCTGGCCTGAGCTCATACAGCCCTCTGCCTGTCACGCCAGGCTTCCTGTGGGCACAAAGGGCATGCGTGATCAACATGTCACACAACTGGACACAATGAGCGCATCATCCATATCCAATTTTCTGATCTTCATTTAGCCAAGTAAACAGGAACAAACTATTTTACATTAACAACCTGGGTGGTCAGTTGAATCTTAATGTAACATCAAACAACTAAAGAAAGCTACTTACTTAAACGAAGCAACACAGTCGATCACTCTCTCCATACCAGTCTCCTTGTTCTCCTAAGGGACAGAGTAGTGTCAGACACATACTGGGGTTCGCTTTAGAATAGCCTTGTTCCAAGCCATTTGTAGAGGTAATTTGGCCAAGCTTAATGGACAGACTATGTAAACATATCTGACCAAATCATGCAAGATTTTAGTTCTGGGTTAACCGTCCGAGATTACTAGCTTTTGACTTGCACTTGTTCTGCACTGCCTAGATTCACCACTAGGTGACAGGCTAGTCAAATAGATACACTATTAATTCATTTGCAGTGAAATCGTCCAACTCAAAAGTCCAGATTATGTGTAGATCATGGGAAATGGGAGCTGTCTAAGCAGATGCCAGGACAGCTTATGTCACCAGTGAAATATTTTTGGCTATAACTCGTTGTTGAGCTATTCCAAGTGAAAACTGCAGCCGGGAAGTCAGCCTGATCTAGGTGTGGTGAGACAGAGACAGAGAGAGAGACAGAGACAGAAGAAAGAGAGAGACAGAGAGAAAGAGAGAAGAGAGAGAGAAGAGAGAGAGAAGAGAGAGAGAGAAGAGAGAGAGGAAGAGCGAGAGAGAGGATAGAGAGAGAGAGGATAGAGAGAGAGAGGATAGAGAGAGAGAGGATAGAGAGAGAGAAGAGAGAGAGAAGAGAGAGAGAGAAGAGAAGAGAGAGAGACACAGACAGACAGAGAGCTAAATGCCTTACGTTCTCAGGCAGGGCTTTGACCAGCTCGCTGTGGGCCATGGGTCTAATACACAGCTGGTGAATAATCTCCCGCTTGATCTCGTCACAGCCTTCCACCTGGCCGATACCAGCTTCAAAGCGCTCACCTGAAACAACACACATACCCATCAGGTATTGTACCGCCAGCCAAACCACAACCATTTACCCACCTTTAAAAAAGGTCAATAACATAAAGGAAACAAGTCAAACAGAGGCTCAGAGTACTCAAACAATGTATGCTGAAACAAAACAAGTCCTAATGAGCAGTAGCATAGTGTGGCACTCACCCACAACCATCATGATGAGGTGCAGCATCTCCTCTATTAGAGTGTTGTTCTGCTGGACCAAGTCCTAACAGACACAGGTCAGTCAGAGATGGACACACACTGAGTTTAAGCAAGAGTATAAAGCCTAATCTAAGTTGTCATTGTCAGTGAGAGAGCAGACCTTGTTGGTGTTCTCCCTGTTGTATCTCTTCCTGCAGTCGGCGGAGCTGAAGATGTGGTAGAGCTCGAAGCGGCTCAGGACTATCATCAGGAAGTGGTTGGGATCCATCATGGAAGCTCCGGCCTGTAGAGAACACACGAACATCGACAGACACGCACACTTGTTAAAGCCTGTAACACGATGTTTAACATTAGCATCATTATGTTGTCAGCTGAAGCAACAAACTGACCTGCAGCATAATGAGGTCCTTGTCAAACATCTCCACTCTGCACTTGACATTGTGGTAGTAGTAGATCTGCAACCAGAGTACACTATGAACTATCTTCATTATAAATGCCACAAGAACAACAACAACAACAACACACGTGTTAGTGTTCTGATAACTCTACCCACATGTACATATTACCTCAATTACCTCGACTAACCGGTGCCCCCGCACATTGACTCTGTACCGGTACCCCCTGTATATAGCCTCCCTATTGTTATTTTATTTTACTGCTACTCTTTAATTATTTGCTATTTCAATTTTTTTACTTAACTTACTTTTTATTTTCTTAAAACTGCATTGTTGGTTAAGGGCTTGTAAGTAAGCATTTCACTGTAAGGTCTATTCCTGTTGTATTCGACACGTGGCAAATAAAATTTGATTTGATATACAGCGCAGAGTAAGAAAGGTAATATAGTGATGGAAGGGGAAATGTTACCTGATTGACCAATGAGAAGCCGTTTCTCCTCCACATCCCAGCGTGCACTTGGGCACAGAGGACCAGGCAGCGAAGGGGGTGTTCTATTAGCATGGGGGGGCTTAGCTCACTCTGTAGACAATGATATATATTTATTAGAAGACACACACGTTTTGCCAAGGCAAACTGTTACAACAATACACAGATACACTCCTGCAAGCTTCCCACTAGGGCTGTGGCAGGCATTACATTACAGTCAAGCAAATAACTGCCGTCTCACGGTAATTGAAAAACACATTTAGCATCACCTGGCTTCTACGCATAGCCTACAAGCCATTGACGCAGACCTTTGGAACATCCACATTTTAACAAGTCTAATAAATCAATTTAATATAGCCTACACCATCACAATAAATCCATTATTTATTTTAGCCCGGTCTAAAGAAACATGATATGAAGAAAATGTAGTCCATTTCAGAAGAACAGAATAGCATACTGAGTTGTCCTTATGTTAGGCCCTGATCTGGCTGTGCCAAATGGCTGTGGGCTACTCTGGTTCATTTAGCAGACAAGATTTGCTTAGAATTCCGTGGCATTATTTTATAGTATGAAGAATACAATTGAACAAAGCTGAATAAAATAGAAAGGATATTTTCTCCAAACGATTTGAGGAAGTGCGCACATGCGGCTATTCTGTGTTGAGCGGTTAACAAAGAAACAGGTCCTCCTATATGCTTACTTTACTTATTTATGTAACATTAGTTGTGATACAAACGTTGGGCTATATGTTTTGATTTTTAATACATTCTAAGGCTGCATGATGCGACTAATGATGATTTGAAAAAAGTTTCATGAAAAGACATGAGCTCCGCTTTGTTTTTTGCGCAGGCTGTACACACTTCATCAGTCTCTCACTCACAATTTGACAAGCACTTGATAATGCCTCGAATTTCCTGGCGGCATCCCCTTTGTGTGGCCGTCTCCCTAAACAAATCCATGCCTTTTGCAGCCAGTGGCCGTTGTGCCCTTGGACTAAATATAATAATCATAATTCCCTTCTCCCCACTGTGCTCCGAAGCACCTCTCACTCACATGGCTCTCTCAGATACTGCATCTCAATTCTTATTAACCAATACCTGTCACGTGATTGGGTCCTAGCAGGCATCTAGGGTCCTTCTCACAGGCTACAAGTGAAGACAGACACATCTGTGACGCAACTGCGCGTGTCCTTATCAAATTCCGAGGCGCATATTGAAAAGAAGAACTGTCCACATTTACTTTGTCAGCCAACAAGATGAGCAGGCCTAATGCAAAAGCACTACCCTATGTCAATCTACTATCCCCCATAGTACAAAAGTTGACCTATGCTATTGGTCAACTTGTGCTTCTGTACGACAAATAAATATTCCAAACATAGTCTGGGACAGTTGTGGGATGCGACAGATTAATACAACCACTAGCATCAAAAAACCTTTTAAAAGCAATGAGGCTGACGCAACAAATCAGAACGTTTAGGTTAAAATGTTGATAAACTGGGGCCTCCCGAGTGGCGCAGCGGTCTAAGGCACTGCATTGCTTGAGGCTGACACAGCCAGCTGCGTCAGAGCTGGCCGTGACCGGGAGACCCATGAGGCGGCGCACAATTGGCCCAGCGTCGTCTGGGATAGGGAAGGGTTTGGCCGGGCGCCTGCAAGCTGACTTCGGTCGCCAGCTGGACGGTGTTTCCTCCGACACATTGGTGCGGCTGGCCTTCCGGGTTAAGCGAGCAGTGTGTCAAGAAGCAGTGTGGCTTGGCAGGGTTGTGTTTCGGAGGACACATGGCTCTCGACCTTCGCCTCTCCCGAGTCCGCAGGGAGTTGCAGCGTTGGGACAAGACTGTAACTACCAATTGGATATCACAAAATTGGGGAGAAAAAGGGGTAAATGTACAACAACAACAAACAAAAAAGATTTGAATAAAAAAAAACTAATAAAAGTTAATAAACTATTAGGCTATTTCTTCACATTATAAGCACAGCAATGCGCACACGGCAGAAGGCTATAAGCGTGAATGTTCCAAAATGCTATCAATTAGCCGGAAAACACCATTCTCAAAAGTGACTGCAATTATGCATGTAATGCTTTATTATATAGGTGCATTTTTATGGTAAAATTTTTCTTCCCCAAACTTGAAACTCATGCGCCGCCTATGTATGCCAGTTAGGCTCTACACCGGTTGATTAATCTGCTTAATTTTAAGAAGTTATTTGGCCACTTTAGTTGTAATACAAACATTATCAGAAAATATAGGCCTATGGGCTAGGCTACATGAGGTGTGCGATTAGGATAAGAAAAAGTCTCAAAAGAAAGGCATGCGCTGTTTCTTCCCTTACTGCACACAAGCTGGGCATCATTCACAAGTGATAGGCTAATATTGTCACCCATCAGACTATTCTTGATTTAATCTTGTCTTTACATATACTAAATAATATATGTGTGAAATTTGTTTTAATTTAGAATGGACCATTATCATGCACCGGTCTCGAAACAGGGGCAGGGGGGAAAAAAATATGTCATCTATGCACTTAAATTGTGAATGGAGGACGCTTTTCCCATGGTTCATTTTCATGCCAGCCAGGTAGGCTATACTCCTGTTATAAAGGGAAGCAATGTGCTTAATATTAGGAAAGTTGAGAAATAAATATAATAGGCCATCAAAACTCTGTTTTCTCTCGCAATTGCATAGCCTATCGAAATGTTGCGCAACATGGGCTCATGGGCTCTCATTAATTGTTTGATTACATTTGCATTGATGTCAGAGTGATTAGAGGGACAATAGAGTGCTGAGTTACCAGGCAGTTAGCAAGTTTGGTAGGCTACTAATGACCATCAGCAGCATCAGAGCTTGGAGAAGCCTAGTTACCATGACTAAACAGTCACGTGGAATTTTCTGCGGTCATGACCCGTGACTGCCGGTGTGGCGGTAATACAGTCACCGTAACAGCCCTACTTACCAGTGGAAGCTGTTCAGGGAATCTGTAGGCCACCTCTATCTTACTGAGGAGAACGTGGAGACCTAAACAGAAAAAGCAGTGACCATATTAACAATGTGTAGACTCTCCATCAATATCATAGCCAAACCATTAATGGTCTGTCATTCAGCTGTGTGCATGTGTCCTACCTGCTAGTAAGCGGGACACAGGCAGGTGGATGCTGACTTTCTCCTGAGAGACACAGTAGCGGATAGTGTCCACAGAATGTCCACATATGCTAAGTGTGATGGGCTGCTCCCCGTCGGTGAAGCCACTGTGGCAGTGTGTAAGTGCTGTCAGGCATTTCTTATAGGCTTCAATCAGCACACGCTCCTGTACACACACAAAAAACAGTAGGAACACAGGCGAGAAAAGGCAGGTGCATGTTTGTGAGTGAGCAATAGAGTGTGAGTTTGTGAGAGAGAAAGTGTGTGTGTTCATGTGCACATGTATATGTCCAGACACTCACATCTGTGGCGCACCACTCCTGCATCATGGAGATGATGTGTGTGAGCTTCATCTGCAGGGTGAAGGCTGCCTCCCACTCAGGCTCCATCTCAATGTGCTGTCCCACCTGCCTCACAACCGGGTCCATTCCCTGATTAGGGCGAGACAGAACGCACAGACTCTCCTTAACACTACCCCCAAATGAACCAGACATGGGGAGGATCATATTAGTCTAAAATGTATTCCTCTAATCTAATTTCCTCTATCTTCTCTGATGTGAAAGAACTGGACAGGTGGAAGCAAGTTCTACTGAAGGCTAGGCTACCATCATAGTTCTTTCACCAATCTTATTTTTTAGGGCAGTGTTAGTGAATGAGGGGAGACAAAGAGAGACCTTTAGACTACCGAGATGCACATAGACACATCATCACTCTGTTCCATAGACCTGTATAGTCTCAATCATGCCCAGAGGGGTTATGGACTCCCAGTCTCCCACCACTATTGATGACTTGTCCTTACCTGCATGCACTTGAGCAGCTCCAGGAAGGTGTCCAGTCCCTCCAGGAACTTCTCCCTGAGTTGGTCACTCCACTCTGTGGGCCGACTGATGAGGACGTACCTGCACACACAACAATATTGTTCACAACACACACTGGCTTTGTACAACACTTACTCAACTAACCAACACACACACATTGCCCAGTGTTTGTGTGTGTGTAAGTGTTCGCGCATTCATCTTACTTGAGGTCTCCGATGAGGCTCTGGACGCGACGGAACTTGAAAGCCTGCTGGGCGGTGTAGCGCTCAAACTGGAAGCGGCCCTGCAGGTCGCGGTGGCGCAGGTGGTCCACAAAGGTCCTGATTATGGTGGTCATTAGGTTCTCCTCTGTGATCAGCATCCGCGCCTGGGCCATGGGGGAGAGGAAGAGGGTTAGAGGCCTCAAGTAGCAGGACATTCTGGAGTCAAATCATCTCGGCAAATCAATCTAGGCAAATCTATGTAAAAATATGACAATATACTACAGCCTTAAAGGGATACTGCGATATTCTGGCATTTAAGCCCTAATTACTCAGTCGTGGATACCATTTTTATGTCTCTGGGTGCAGTATGAAGGACGTTAGCGGTTATGCTACCCTACCTGTAGAGTTAGTCATTGCGCTAACGCTAGTTAGCATTGGCTCGTAAAACTACCACTAACATCCTTCATACTGCACGCAGAGATATAAAAATGGTATCCACGAGTTCATAAGACTCTGGGTAAGTAGAATCTCGCAGTATCCCTTTAAACTACACTACAGCATTAGCCTACAACTGGAACAGCGTACTTTTCGCTAGGGTGACGATCACAAATATTTAACATTTTCATTTAAATAATAGTTATTGTGATAAACACATGAAATGGGATCCTAGCTGTATAATGTTGTTTTACTTAAGAAAAATCACATCCAACATCAACTTGGCATGCAACAGCCTTTTCAATCGTGATTAAGATGGCCATACTTTCTCTCTATGGACATGACATCAATTAACAGTCTAACATTTTTCAGCATGCGTCCCATCTCGGGTGGAACTAACTCACGTCACCCCGACCCGTGCGGCCAGTACTCACCAGGGAGGGCACTGTGAACATTTGCACCGAGAGGTCAGTGACCGAGAACTCCCTGTCGTGGTCATCTTTCACATAGTCGCTCTGCAAGCGCTCATAATTCTAACAGCAGTGGCATGGGGAAGACAAGAGAAGAAGAGAAGGTGTGTGTGTTGAGAGGTGTGCGGTCAGGCGTGGGGTTGGGGGTACTCACCATGGTGGGGACGGTGAAGAGCTGAACTGACAGAGAAGTCACTGACACTACACGCTCGTGATCATCCTCCATAAAATCTGTCTGGAGGCGCCGGTAATTCTAAATAACAAGGGGGACATTCACTTCCTAGGCAAAGGCCGTGGGCCCCCCCTTCCCCCTCCCCCAATCCCTTTCTAAGCTCTGGTGAGCAGTTACCCCTAGACACAGATCTAGGATCAGCTTGCTTGCCAAATCGTAAGCTTAACCATTTTTGGAGGGGGAAAGCAAAACTGACCTCAGATCAGTGTCTAAGGGCAACTTCATCCTACTCCCCCTGCTAAGCCTCTAAAGCCCTCTGGTCCTTGACCACCCAGGTCTCAGAGAGCATAGATATATAATCACAAGATAGCAACAGAGACCAATTGAGTCTAATCAAAGTTTGGATTCAATATTCCTCCACGTAAGATTTTGGCCAGCCAATCTTTTCAAATATCCTGTCTAAGTCTTAGCTCGTGTGATCTAGTGAGTGCATATCTATGCTCTCAGGTTCAGCTCAGGACACCTGTAGAACTTTGGCTTTGGGTGTGTGTGAACAGAGCAGACATCCTAGGATTTTGGGGTCAGCGGGTCCGATAGGGATTGGGAGTGTGTGGGGCTGTTTTACATTCCAAGCAGGCTGAGAGGAAAGCAGATCAGAGGTAAAGCCTGCTGTCTTTCCATCCTCTCAGCTATGCCACCCAGGAGGACAGAGTAAAAGGATGTGATGGGAGCAGTTAACGCCCCATCCAGGCCTGGTGCCAAAACACCCTTGCCAGCCTCAATCTACTATTGTGATAAGACTATACCCGCTTTGGTGTGTGTGGGGAAACTGGCAATGTGTGTGTGTTTACATGACCAAATGGGTATGGTGTCAGTCTGTCAAGAGAACTCATGGGATGATCTTTTTATGAAACACTCATATATATTCATACATTACATTTGTTTGCCACATCAATCTTCAATTCAAGACAGTATCAAATTCTCTTTAATAGCTATAGCCTAACTGTATGTTTTAGGGATGTTAACGGTTAACCGTTAAATCGGTTAGCTGACGGAAATACATTTGACCGGTCATGCTTATCTGTCTATAGGTTAATTTGCATAATATTTTGAGGAATTAAATTGCCGCGTGTGTATATTCGTTAGTCGTCAGGCATTTCATTAATCACAACGTGCTCAGCATACTCAGCATACTGAGCCTAGTTTGACGAGCGGAATAGACTACCACCTGTCAGACATCGCGAGAGTACAGTGGGGAAAAAAATGATTTAGTCAGCCACCAATTGTGCAAGTTCTCCCACTTAAAAAGATGAGAGAGGCCTGTAATTTTCATCATAGGTACACGTCAACTATGACAGACAAAATGAGAAGAAAGAAATCCAGAAAATCACATTGTAGGATTGGTAATTAATTTATTTGCAAATGATGGTGGAAAATAAGTATTTGGTCAATAACAAAAGTTTCTCAATACTTTGTTATATACCCTTTGTTGGCAATGACACAGGTCAAACGTTTTCTGTAAGTCTTCACAAGGTTTTCACACACTGTTGCTGGTATTTTGGCCCATTCCTCCATGCAGATCTCCTCTAGAGCAGTTATGTTTTGGGGCTGTCGCTGGGCAACACGGACTTTCAACTCCCTCCAAAGATTTGACTGGCTAGGCCACTCCAGGACCTTGAAATGCTTCTTACGAAGCCACTCCTTCGTTGCCCGGGCGATGTGTTTGGGATCATTGTCATGCTGAAAGACCCAGCCACGTTTCATCTTCAATGCCCTTGCTGATGGAAGGAGGTTTTCACTCAAAATCTCACGATACATGGCCCCATTCATTCTTTCCTTTACACGGATCAGTCGTCCTGGTCCCTTTGCAGAAAAACAGCCCCAAAGCATGATGTTTCCACCCCCATGCTTCACAGTAGGTATGGTGTTCTTTGGATGAAACTCAGCATTCTTTGTCCTCCAAACACGACGAGTTGAGTTTTTACCAAAAAGTTCCATTTTGGTTTCATCTGACCATATGACATTCTCCCAATCCTCTTCTGGATCATCCAAATGCACTCTAGCAAACTTCAGACGGGCCTGGACATGTACTGGCTTAAGCAGGGGGACACGTCTGGCACTGCAGGATTTGAGTCCCTGGCGGCGTAGTGTGTTACTGATGGTAGGCTTTGTTACTTTGGTCCCAGCTCTCTGCAGGTCATTCACTAGGTCCCCCCCGTGTGGTTCTGGGATTTTTGTGATCATTTTGACCCCACGGGGTGAGATCTTGCGTGGAGCCCCAGATCGAGGGAGATTATCAGTGGTCTTGTATGTCTTCCATTTCCTAATAATTGCTCCCACAGTTGATTTCTTCAAACCAAGTTGCTTACCTATTGCAGATTCAGTCTTCCCAGCCTGGTGCAGGTCTACAATTTTGTTTTTGGTGTCCTTTGACAGCTCTTTGGTCTTGGCCATAGTGGAGTTTGGAGTGTGACTGTTTGAGGTTGTGGACAGGTGTCTTTTATACTGATAACAAGTTCAAACAGGTGCCATTAATACAGGTAACGAGTGGAGGACAGAGGAGCCTCTTAAAGAAGAAGTTACAGGTATGTGAGAGCCAGAAATCTTGCTTGTTTGTAGGTGACCAAATACTTATTTTCCACCATAATTTGCAAATAAATTCATAAAAAATCCTTCAATGTGATTTTTTGGATTTTCTTTTCTCAATTTGTCTGTCATAGTTGACGTGTACCTATGATGAAAATTACAGGCCTCTCTCATCTTTTTAAGTGGGAGAACTTGCACAATTGGTGGCTGACTAAATACTTTTTTCCCCCACTATATGTGCATCTTGAGATGGGTGTTGAAATACAAGGGCATCTGAGTTTAAACTGACTCACCTTGATTCATTTTGGCACACCGACTCCACACAGAAATGACAAAATGTCAAATGTCAGTTCATTAATTAAAAATTACAGGCCTCTCTCATCTTTTTAAGTGGGAGAACTTGCACAATTGGTGGCTGACAAAATACTTTTCCCCACTGTATCTCCTCAAAAAGCCTGTAGGCTACTGGAGTGAAACTTGCTTTTGTAAGCCCAGACATAGGCTATAGCCTGCCTACCATTACATCACCCATCACTTTGCAATGTGAACTTGAGGCAATATAATTGTTTGAAACCTGATTTTGATTTTATAATTTTTTTTAGGAGGTAGATCAGCTTTAATATTGCAGATAGATTGTAACTTCCATCAATGTAATTGTCTGCATCACTTCCAATCCCCCATATGTTTTTTTTCTACTCGCAAATAAATAAATAAATAAATAAATATATATATATATATATATATATATATATATATATATATATATATATATATATATATATATATATATATATATATATATATATATATATATATATATATACATACATACATATACACTGCTCAAAGAAATAAAGGGAACACTTAAACAACACATCCTAGATCTGAATGAATGAAATAACCTTATTAAATGCTTTTTTCTTTACATAGTTGAATGTGCTGACAACAAAATCACACAAAAAATATCAATGGAAATCAAATTGATCAACCCCATTGAGGTCTGGATTTGGAGTCACCCTCAAAATTAAAGTGGAAAACCACACTACAGGCTGATCCAACTTTGATGTAATGTCCTTAAAACAAGTCAAAATGAGGCTCAGTAGTGTGTGTGGCCTCCACGTGCCTGTATGACCTCCCTACAACGCCTGGGCATGCTCCTGATGAGGTGGCGGATGGTCTCCTGAGGGATCTCCTCCCAGACCCTGACTAAAGCATCCGCCAACTCCTGGACAGTCTGTGGTGCAACGTGGCGTTGGTGGATGGAGCGAGACATGATGTCCCAGATGTGCTCAATTGGATTCAGGTCTGGGGAACGGGCGGGCCAGTCCATAGCATCAATGCCTTCCTCTTGCAGGAACTGCTGACACACTCCAGCCACATGAGGTCTAGCATTGTCTTGCATTAGGAGGAACCCAGGGCCAACCGCACCAGCATATGGTCTCACAAGGGGTCTGAGGATCTCATTTCGGTACCTAATGGCAGTCAGGCTACCTCTGGCGAGCACATGGAGGGCTGTGCGGCCCCCCAAAGAAATGCCACCCCACACCATGACTGACCCACCGCCAAACCGGTCATGCTGGAGGATGTTGCAGGCAGCAGAACGTTCTCCACGGCGTCTCCAGACTCTGTCACGTCTGTCACATGCTCAGTGTGAACCTGCTTTCATCTGTGAAGAGCACAGGGCGCCAGTGGCGAATTTGCCAATCTTGGTGTTCTCTGGCAAATGCCAAACGTCCTGCACGGTGTTGGGCTGTAAGCACAACCCCCACCTGTGGACGTCAGGCCCTCATACCATCCTCATGGAGTCTGTTGCTGACCGTTTGAGCAGACACATGCACATTTGTGGCCTGCTGGAGGTCATTTTGCAGGGCTCTGGCAGTGCTCCTCCTGCTCCTCCTTGCACAAAGGCGGAGGTAGCAGTCCTGCTGCTGGGTTGTTGCCCTCCTACGGCCTCCTCCACGTCTCCTGATGTACTGGCCTGTCTCCTGGTAGCGCCTCCATGCTCTGGACACCACGCTGACAGACACAGCAAACCTTCTTGCCACAGCTCGCATTGATGTGCCATCCTGGATGAGCTGCACTACCTGAGCCACTTGTGTGGGTTGTAGACTCCGTCTCATGCTACCACTAGAGTGAAAGCACATACATATACACACACACACACACACACACTTCCTTTTTTTTATATATTTCCCTTTATTACTTTCCAACCCCACCACCCCTTCCCTAATTGGAGTAAACTAGTGAACAACAATGCTTAGGCCTTCCAGCTTATACATACTATATACATTTTATGGACAGTCAATTTTACAAGAATTCTATTTTGTTTGTTTTTATTCCTGAACTTCCTCTACCCTCAACCTCTCCGATCATTTTCATGATGTCCATCCAGTTTTCTTCTATATGCCACATCTTTCTAACTGTGCTCTTTCACAAAAGCTCTCAACCTACAGTGAGGGAAAAAAGTATTTGATCCCCTGCTGATTTTGTACGTT